CGCTGCGCTCCCTCCTGTCACCAGGTTCCTACTCCTACTGCAACACGACCTTGGACCAGATCGGGACCTGCTGGCCCCAGAGCACGCCCGGAGCCCTAGTGGAGAGACCGTGCCCCGAGTACTTCAATGGCATCAAGTACAACACGACCCGTGAGTACCCCTCGCTTGCCGGCTTCCCAGAAAGGCGGTTCAGGAAGAGGGGAGGGCTCTGGACCCTGAATCGGACAACTACCGTGGGCCTTCATACCGTTGTAGCAATTACCCTGGTGACTCTGGAAATAGGGGTGCTCGCCCTGTCCCTAACCCTATGGTGCTTCTAACCCCGGTCAGGCGCTGGTTTGCCCAGAGTTCTTATGCTACACGTTTGGAAAGAGGCGAGCAAGAGTCGGAAATACTTCTCCTTGGGGGCAAGCATCCCCTGCACTGTTTGCTCAAGTGCCTGAAGTTCGACCATTAGGGCTTCGTTTGAACAGAGCATTGTATGAACAGATACAATGCTCTCCCATCTCTAAGGCGACGCAGCATATAGAAAGATGTTAAGGCCCCAATCCTGTACTCACGTTGTGACTAAGGTAATCAGACCCTAGCACTGGAGAGGAGAGCATCAGAAGGAGGTAGGGAAACGCGTATGTTAGGGGACATACTGAGCCTAGACTCTGGGAGGTCAGAGGGGATGGGGGTCGTCTTTTCCCTTATCTCTGAGACTTGCTCACTGGAGCCCTGGGTAGCATCACACCTCTGTGTAACCTCAGGTAACAGTGGTTTTGAATCAGAACCACACCCCCTCCTGCCAGGAAGAACAGCCTGCAGCTTCCTTCCTGCTGGCAAGCTCCATGAAGGCTATACACTATAGTAAGAGAGCAGCAGGGAGGAGGAAGGGGCTATTCGAGGCATTCAATCTGGGGGTTGTGGTTGTGTGTATGCACATGTCAACACAAATGGAAGGTCTGATAGAAACCGGTGCTGAGCTCTGGGAGGTTGTGGGTAGTCATGGCTGACCGGCCCAGACACCCTCCTGTCCAGCCCTACCTGCTACCAGGGCACTGCTGAGACTGTGGCAAGCTGTTTGTCTACACCCTTTACATCCCGGCAGTGCTGAGTCTGATTGTGATCCATCCCCTGCATCTCCACATACACATGCATGCCCCAGCTCTCAGAGGGCAAGCAGGCCTTCACCTTATAGGTACTTAAGACCAGGAAGCAGCGCCCACACTGGGGCCAGGCTGTGCTCCCTGGAAGCGAGGAGTAGCCTCCTCTGAGAAAGCTAGGACTGGATGCTCCTAATAAAAGTCCATGGAAGTGGAGGAAGCACTGAGGAAGGGTTCCCCAGCACCTGAGATTTAAACAGATCTCATTGGTAGGTAGTAAGGACCCTGGCCCAGGAGGTATGCAAGAAAAGGAATGACTTCAAGCTCCCTCCCAGGAGTAACTAACCAAACTGTTTTTAGCATGTGACCTCCATGAAGTTGGGCAATGGAGATCAGGTTCCTAATTCAGAAGGGCTGAGACTGAGGGCCATGCAAGGCCAAGTGGAGTGACTAAGCCTGAGGAAGCTCTCTCTGCCTCAGCTCTTACTCTGGCCCTGTTCCCTCCACCCACCTGAAACCCCACCTACCTCCGGCAGTGCCTGACTCTCTGCTCCAGAGCAGAGCCCAGCACAGCATTGTATAACCAATTTGTTGAACATCTACTATGTTCCAGCTACAGTGACTGTACTGTATCGAGGCTGCCTGGCAATCATAGACAGATGAATACAGAGTGATAACTGCCCTGCTTCAGGAAAAGCAAGGGTATTATGGGAAGGAGAGGCAGGGACATGACCTACCAGACCCTTCCTATCAAATCAAATGAGAAGCTGAAAAAAAAGGTCCAGGTACACTGAGACTGGTAAATGTGGTGGCAATTAGTCCTTGGTGTCTAATGAACGATTTTCTTCATTGGACCAAAGCACTGCCTGCGCCTTAGCTCCTGGGAGCTTTGAGCTGGCGGTGGAGTGTTGGCTTAAGGAGATACCTGGAGCTGGGAGGGTGCAGTCACCCTGGCTAGAAGAGGCATGTGACAGCTGTGGAAATACCTGATTGATGCTCCTCCTACCTCCGCCAGCCCAGCTTCCTTCTGGCATCCTTTTCAATGGGATCCTTCTTGAGAAAGGACCAGGAGAAAACCATTCAGTGAAAAGCCCGAAGGAAGAGCAACCTAATCTCATCATGTCACAGCTACCCTTTCCCCTCCCCCAAAGCCAGGCTTCTCAGAGGGCAGAAATTGCTTGAGGATAGGAAATGCCCTGTGGTGATGGCAGTGTCTGCAGAAGTGCCTGTGGCCTGTTAACTCAGCTGAGCACAGAAGACCTGCCACAGAACCTCCAAGTGCTAATCACTTCCACGTGCCGGATTCCCCAGGAGAACCTACTACCCCAATCCCACTCCTGCCATCACTGCCCGCAAAGACCCAGCTGTTTTCAGGCCCAGGTGCAGAGCCGAAAGTGGGCCCCAGCTAGCTGGCTCCTGTGCACCAGGTCAGGCAGGAAGCCATGACCCTCTTGCAACCTCAGGGCAACAACATCTCCAGGAGTAACTGTTCAGTTTGAGGACTCAGCCCTCTGACCTGCACTTTTGAGGGAGCTTTGATTCAGCAGGTGGATATATGATAGGTATAGGGAGGTGTTCCAGGCCAGAAATTAACAGGAGGCCTGAAGACCTCCTTCTTCAGTGCTTCTTAGTGCCTTGGAACAATGGAACGTTTAGAACATAATGAGACAAAAACTACTAGTAAGATCAGAGAGGGACGTGGAGGGCTGCAGATGCACAGCACTGCAAAAGGGCTTTATTGTAGGCATAGGATGGAGCCTGGGCAAGATTGTGAGAAGAGCTAAGCTGAAGTCCTCTCAGTCTCAGGTGGAAAGAGGAGGAGTAAGAACACTGCAACAGCCCTTTGGAGGAGAAAACACTCCTCCAAATCATGGAGGGTTCCCATGCCAAGTGGCCCTGGGCACTGCAATTGACAAGGGGGAAGAGGAGATGGCAAGGGACCAGGAATTGCAAAAAAGCAGTGGCTGAACACAGTGAGGGATGCGCTGCCTTTGAGGCATTGAGAGAACCTATGAGCAGAGGCATTAACGAAGCAGCTGACCGGGTAACAACAGCCCAGGAGAGCATCAGGGCACCAGGGTGGAGGTGAGGTATGGGGCAGCTGCTGGAACAGGTGGGAACAGGTGTCCGAGAGTACATCAAAGCTGTAACTGGTCCGATGCAGAGATTATCACCAGATGTCAGGGCCAACAATGGCCAAAAGAAGGGAAGGCAAGGTCCCAAAGGAAGGGATCCTGGGCAGAGTAACGCACCTGAGTCCATGGATGAAGCAACCATTTTAGTGCCTGTGTGTCTCCTCCAGCACCCTGAGCCCTGGTGTCTACACTGGTACCCAATTTACTCACCATGCCCAGAGATGGAAACTTGGGGTTATCCTTGTGTTACACATGGGGATACAGAGGCTTGAAAGCCTGAAATAACCTACCTCCTAGCAGAGCAAGAATCCTAAACCTAAGCTGCTAGAGTTTAGGGCCCCCGCCAGGAACATAGGACAGAGATGACCAGTGAGAAGACTCCTGCCTTCCCCAGGTGGCTGATGCCATCACCCCCCGACGACCAGCTGGGCAACCCCATGCTGCTCAGTCTAGAGCTCCCTGCCGTGGTCTCTGGAGGGAGGGGCTTTCATCTCTACTTTGTGCGTGCGTGTGTAGGAAGTCTGATGGATAGGGGCATAGCAATTTCTGCTCACATGCTCAAGTGCCGACTGCCAGGGCTCCTAAGGCTCAAGCAGGAGGTGACCCTGTCTCCACTAGGTTTATCCAACTTAGATTCAACTCCTGGGAAGCTAAAACCAATCCTAAAATGTCCAGGCGCAGTATAACCTGGGGTGAGCCTCCGTCCTTCCTGGGTCTCAGTCTCCCACCTATACGGGCAAAGGAAGTGAGGTTTCACCATCAGCTTGTTGGGGAGACAAGACACTCAGTTCCACTTTACTGCACCTCCCTGTTCACACACCTCCAAGCATTCTCCCCCTCCTCTCTCCCTCTCCTTATCTCCTTCCTCCTCCTTCCCTCTTTCCTTCCCTCTCCGGTCACTCTGCCTTCTCTTCCCAACTCTCCCCTCTCCCCATCTCTCCCTGTTCCTTCTCTACCCCTGATCTCCCTGTCTGGGCCCCTCCTTTCACCTGTACCTCGGTCCCATGACTACATAGGAGGGCCCCCTTCCTCCACAAGACGCAGCCCATCTTTCTCTTTCAGGAGCACTGGTCTCCATCTTGCCATCCGTGTCCATGTCAAGAGAGAACAATGAGGCCATTAGTTATTGAGGCACCCTCGGGCAGGGAGAGGGGATATCTACCTTATGGAGAAAGTATGGAATGGAGAAAATGGAAGCCTCACTTCCCAGAACCCCATTCTAAAATAGAAACACAACCTAAGGGGCCCCTAGACAGAGAAGCTTCCCACCAGGTCTGCATCCTTGAGCAGGAATCCTCTCCGTACTGTGGGACAGAGGTGTCAAGAAAGGTTGCAAAGCCCTAGACTGCTTATAGACCAAACTTGCACAAATCAACAGTCAGAGATTGGGTTAAGGGGCATGGCAGGCACTGAACCATAGGGGGGGAGCGTCCCAGAGGGCTGTAACAGCGAGCATTCGGCATTTCCTGAGGCTGCAAGTCTGAGGGTCCCAGACACCACAGCCTGAGGACAAGAAATTGGAGGTTGCAGATCCAGAAATTGGACTGCCTCAGTTTCCAGGAAGACATGGTCACACCCAGACACTTTCATTTTCCAGAGGCAGAAAGTCCCCTGTATGAGGACAGTTTTCTTGCTGAGAGACAGGGAAGGCAGAACAGGTTCCCTCATCACAAAGGAGGGCTGATGGGGGTGGAGGGGAAAGAGAGCAGGTGGGCCACTAGTCCCTAGAACTCACTGTCTACCTCCCTCCAGCCGCCCTCCCCTGTCACTTCAAGTAGGAAAAGACCAGCCATACTCTAACATCTGTCTGTCTTGTATGGAAGGAGCCTGGGGGACAGAGAAGTCTGTCTTTCTGAACTCCCCTCCCTCCCTCACCCCTGGATGGAGCAGCCCCACAACATATTGAATCTCTGCTTCCTATCAGGCT